AGAGTTTACAATAGCAAAGACCTAGAACCAACCCAAATGCCCATCGATGATAGACTGAACAGGGAAAATGTGGCACACATACACCATGGAATATTATGCAGCCATCAAAAACGATGAGTTCATATCCTTTGTAGGGACATGGATAAACCTGGAGACCATCATTCTCAGCAAACTGACACAAGAACAGAAAATGAAACACCGCATGTTCTCACTCATAGGTGGGTGTTGAAAAATGAGAACACATGAACACAGGGAGGGAGCACTACACACTGGGGTCTGTTGGGGGGAATAGGGGAGGGACAGCAGAGGGTGGGGAGTTGGGGAAAGATAGCATGGGGAGAAATGCCAATATAGGTGAAGGGGAGGAAGGCAGCAAATCATACTGCCACGTGTGTACCTATGCAACTATCTTGCATGTTCTTCACATGTACCCCAAAACCTAAAATGCAATAAAAAATATTTTAAAAAGAAAGTATAGCTTGCTTAGATCAAGGTCTGGGACCACAGGCACGCGCCACCATGCCCAGCTAATTTTTGTATTTTTAGTAGAGACAGGGTTTCACCATGTTGTCAGGATGATTTCCATCTCTCGACATTGTGATCCGCCCACCTCGGCCTCCCAAAGTGTTGGGATTATAGGCCTGAGCCACCATGCCGGCGTACTCTTCTTTTAAAGTTAATAAAACTGCAGGTTTTCTAAATCAGAAAATCTTCAACAAAATAGATCATTTACACTACAATGTTTTTACTCCATAAAGAATTCTCTTTCCTGGCTTCCATTTTTTGATGGAAGACTTGATAAAGACTTTTTTTGAAACATGGCACTCTTACTCACATAGTTGCAAACAAACTACTTTTAAGGCACAAGAAAAAGATATTATTTTGAATTTAAAAGTCAGGTACTTAAATCTGTAATATTAATGTACTCTATTTTAATGTTTAAAAAATTTAAGGAGTCACTCTCACTTTAAACTTTCTGAATGTGTACCTTATGCCTTACTTTAGGTGTAAAGTGAGAGTGACTCTTAAATTTTTTTTTTTTTTTTTTTTTTTTGAGACAGAGTCTTGCTCTGTCGCCGGGCTGGAGTACGGTGGCACAATCTCGGCCCACTGCAACCTCCGCCTCCTAGGTTCACGTGATTCTCCTGCCTCAGCCTCCCAAGCAGCTGGGACTACCGGCACAACTGGCTAAGACAAAGTTTCACCATGTTAGCCAGGATGGTCTCAATCTCCTGACCTCATGATCTACCCGCCTTGGCCTCCCAAAGTGCTGAGATTACACACATGAGCCACTGCACCCGGCCCTAAATTTTAATGTGTAAATTTTGTAATTCACTCTTACTTTAAACTTTCTCAATGTGTACCTTACACCTAGGTAAAAAATTAAAAATATATACAAGGTATGTGTCCCTGACAAATACTTTATTCTAAATGAGTTATTCTATCTTTTGAGGATGAGGATCCCATATTAAGGTTCAAATATTACTTTGCAGGTGTCCACAATAGCATTGTACTTTTAGATCCACTAACTGAGAAAATACAATATGAAAAAAAAAGTTGGTATGAACACAGGAGCACAAAACCAAAAAAAAAATCACTACTTAAAGAAATCATAAAATATTTTTCTCATGTAATCATAAGCAGTTCAGGGCTAGCATTGTGGCTTCCCAAATATCAGGGACTCAGGACCCTCTGATCTTACGTCTCTGCCATCCTCAAGATGCCGCATCCTCCTAATGACCTAAGATGACTGCTTTAGCTCCAGCATCCCAACTTTATTCCAGCCAGCAGAAAAGAAGAGCTCATTCTTTCCTTCTACATTTACATAAGTATTAAAGTTAGAATAACCCAGCTTCTAATTGTGGCTCAACTAATTAGTAGCTCTGTGACCTAAGGGTCCATTATTTGATCTCTATAAACATCAGCTTTTCAGAGAAGTAGGACACAACACTTCTGCTTACATCGTATTGGCCAGGATTTGGTTCTGTGATCACATCTGGCTGCAAGGGAAGCTACAAAATGTAGTCTTTATTCAGGATAGTAATGTGTCTAATATCTTACAGAAAAGGAGAGAATGAAGTTTGGGGAGCCACAGGTCTCTGACACATTTTTCCTAAGAATATGTACTTTATTAATGAGGACAATACTTTCACACTTTTGAAAAACGGGTAAACATGTTCGAGACATATTAATTATTTAATCTATAGACAATACTTGGCTGAGCATGTGAATTTGAGGATCTGGTTGTAAAGTGGTCTCAGCTCAAAGCTGCTCAGAGCTCACGGGCAGTCTGGATGATGTTAGGTTGGAAAGTCTTCATGGAGGAGATTAGCTGGACCTTGAAGAATGTGCAAGATTGTAAAATCGATGGGGATGGGCAACTGAGACAAAATTTGACAGCAAAGGCAGGGAGACAAGTGGGGTATAGTTTGGCTGGGGCAGAAGGCATGTGGATGTACTTTAGAAACCAAACCAAAAACAGTAAGAATGTAAGTCTTTATCACAGAGAAAAGTATTGGGAGGTAAGGTTAAAGAAGGCTGAACAGTTATAGAAATGTTTTGAAGGCTAAAGCAAAGCATTTGACATTTTGGCTTTACCAGTTATGAGATATGTGGCCTCAGGCCCAGTTAGTTCACCACTGTGAACTTCAACCTTCTCTTCTGTGAAATGTGGGCAATGATAACACCTAGTAGGGTTGTTTTGAGGCTAAATACTAGCATGTCATTAGCATTCAAAAATACTAGTTATTAATAAAAGCTCTGAGTAAGCAAGTAACATGGTAATGTTTTAAAAAATTAATAGCAATCTGACAGCCAGGGTAAGAGTGATGGGAGAAGGAAAAATCTAAAGGCACACAGAGCAAAGCAGTTGGAAGTAATCTAATACAACTGATGCTCAGGAGCTTGAATTTTATGCTTTAGATAAAGAAAAATTGGAGTTGGCAGGAGGAATATTGCAGGCAATGGTATCAGTTAGGATTACTATCAAACCCCAGGCCCAGAATGGGGCCTTGAAATGCGACAGTAGCTGTGTGGATGGAAAAAAAAATCTGGCTATGAAGGGAGCTTGGTGAATGGTTGCAGGCAGGGGATGAAGAAAAGGGAAGAAAGGCTTTGATATGAGTGACTGAATGGCCTGAAGCAGCAGGAACCAAAATAAGAAGTGGAGGAAGAACAGAATGGCATGTGTGGCCCTGGGGAGAAAAGTTCAGTTTAGACTGTTGACATGGACATTCAGATGATGAAGGGGCCCAATAACCCGCTGGATATATAGAGCTGGCATTAAAAGTGGTGTCTGGATGGGAGAGGCGGAGACGTGGAAGTCCCACGAAACAGGGGTAGCTGAAGCTATAGGAGGAGAAGAGGAGCTCATCCAAGAAAAGTCCGGAGAACGGAATCCTGAAGACAGTCATTACTTTCATGAGAAAAGAAAAAGAGAAGCCAGAAGGGGGAATAAGAAGATGAGAGAACTCAGAGGCAGCAAAATCAAGCCAAGAGAAAGGGAGTGCCTAATAGAGTGCTCAAGCTATCAGGAGTTCAAGGATGAGGCCAGTGCCTAAATGGTTAGTGAGGTGCTCAAATGTTAAGTGGCCCATTGTTGAGTGTTCTTCAGCAGTAAGGGAAAAGATTTGCTGGCTTCAGAAATGCTCACCACCTGCTGGAGCTAAGAGCAGTTCAGAAAGGACTGGAGCAGCTTATAGAAATTTCCCCTTAAAAGCAGAGTTCTGGGCCGGGCACTGTGGCTGAGGCCTGTAATCCCTGCACTTTGGGAGGCCAAGGTGGGTGGATCACTTGAGCCCAGGAATTCCAGACCGGCCTGGGCAACATGGTGAAACTCTGTCTCTACAAAAAAATGTAAAAATTAGCCAGATGTGGTAGCATGTGCCTATAGTGCCAGCGACTTGAATACCTGAGCTGGGAAGATCACCTGAGTCCAGGAAGGTCAGAGCTGCAGTGAGCTGTAACTGGAGTGCACTGCACTCCAGTCTGGGTGACAGAGTGAGACCCTGTCTCAAAGTGTGTGTGTGTGTGTGTGTGTTTTAAGCAGAGCTCTGCCAACATGGCCAGAAGATGGGAGGGATTTCTGACTTGTTCTGTGTACCTCTACCTTTGGTGGCCGTGTGTGTATGTGCGTGTGTGTCTGTCTCTTTCAGCAATGGACCAGAGCTCTGGAAAGGTGAATGTGAAAGCCTCCAGCACACACAGCCTTAGCCTTTTCTTCTGTGTTAAGTCTGTGCTAGACTGTGAACTTCTTGAGACTTAACCTCAGCATCTAGGACCACACTATGATATGACTGTACAATCACTCATGTTTGTTGATTGAAAGTCAAAAGCAAATAAGAGAATCAGCCAACAATAAGATAATCAGCACTTCCAGAAATAAGTGCTGGAAGACATAAATAAATAACAGAGAAGTGGGTAGAGCTCTTGGAATCAGACTCAGACCTCCTATTTGTCGGTGTTACATCAGGCAAGTTCCTTAAACACTGTATATGATGGGAATTACAATGGAACCCACCCTAAATGTAGCACTCACCTAAATGACAATGTACAGGGGAAATTTAGCAAAGTACTTTTATTACTCAACCTCTCTAGAAGTCTGAACTGAGAATATTTAGTACGTTTTTAAAGGAATTATAAATTGATCACTCTTTATCCATCAGTGCCATCTACTTATGTTTACTGCAACCAGGAACTGCACAGCACATCACAATAAAGCCATGGAGAGAAAACCTTCCTCTCATGGAGTCATTTAAGAGTTTAGAGAAATTAACTGAGGCCATTTATGTGAAAGAACTTTAATGAAAAACAGCATCCACCATAGAATGTGCCTGATAGAGAATTTAAAAAGATCTTACACGGTTATTACCATCGTCACTAAATCAAAACTCTGGCAAAAAAGAGGAAAGGAAACACACAGCCTTCTTCTGTGATCTAATGTTGGCGATTTTTTCAAAGGTCAAAGAGAAAAATAAGTAGCCCCTTGACATTATACTTACAAATTCTTCTTCTGTAATAGCTGGTGGCTCTGAAACAAGAGAAAATGTTACATTATCTCCCTGAAATCTGATTTCCTTTGAGTCAATGAAATCATGTGAGACAGCACCGAGCTCTATGGTATACACGGGCTGGCTCCTGAAATGTCTGGCTCTGTTCATTCGCTGCACATGGCTTGCATTTTACGTTGGAAGTCATGGCAGAAGCGGGAAGGAAAGGGCTCTGGAATCCTGCCTGGTCCCTAATTCACTGCGACCCAGAAGACACCCTTCACAGACGGAAGCCTCGATTGTTCTACGTACAAAACGCAGAATTAAGCGAGGTCACACGGTGCCGGCGCAAACAGGGAGGACGTGAAATCCCTCGTAAAAAGCAACGGGCAGGGCAGTGAAGCCAGTTTTTTCTCGCGTCTGGCTGTGGGGACGCTCGGGCAGGATGTGAAGTCCACAGGTGGGCGCGTGGTGCGGCCCGGACGCCGCGGGTGGGTCCTCCGTCCCTGTGGGGCCGCCACCTACCCGCGGTGAGCCTCTTCTCGGGCATGCCGTCGCCCCAGCCCGTGCCCGGAGCCCTCGCGGGCCGTTAGGACCCCAGAGCGCGGGCCCAGCGCGGCGAGGGCGGGTCTCTCCCTGGGAGCAAGCGGCTGCCGCGCATGCGCCCCGGAGCTGCAGCTGCGCCGACTGGCGGGGCCCTCGCCGCGCCCGGGTTGCTATGGAGCTTAGACGACGCGGCCGCCCCAGGAGGCCGAGGCCCGGCCGTCAGGCGCCTTTCGGGGTTCAGAGCCGCTGCTGGAACACCCCAGCGGCCCACTGCCCTCCTTTCCTCCTCCTCTTGGGCACGGGCTGGCGCTGCGAAGAGCTGGGAGCGGAAGCGCGTCCCGACCCCTGGGGCCGTCACCCGGGAGGGGCGCCCTGGAGACCCGCCTGGCCGCGAATTCGTTACTGTGGTGACCGTGGCTCAGGGCGTGGCACAGCCCACCCGCACCGGACGGGGAAACGCGGTGCTCCACAGGAGGGAGAGGCCGCGGGCACGCGGGGCCCGAGGCGGCCAGGGCGGCTGGTCCGGAGAAGCGGAGGAAGCAGGGAAGAGTCGGGCCCTTCTTGGGTTTGCCTCATTCTTCAGGAGGCCTGCGACACACGGCTCTTGATCTCCATCACAGTTGTATGAAATGCTTGTGTAAAAAGTGAAAATATTCGCGGCCTACAGGAACCCTGAACTTCCCCGATGCACGTGTGTGCCGGTTGGTTAGGACTGCTGCATTTTCAAGATAGCGAGGCTTTAACATGACCTGAGGGGGCCTCACCTTCACCTAATGTGGTACCTGTCGGTTAAATTACTCAGGCCAGAAACCTGGGAGCTTTTCCCTAAAACTCACTGCCTGCCCGGCAGCTCTCTTATTCAGTTAGACACTGGGTCCTGCTAATTCTCCCTTAGTGTTTCTGAACTCTGGGGTCTCCTCTTCTTCTAGTAACAGCCTGAGTACAGGCTCCATCTGAACTGCCGTAAAAACTTCCTAACTGGTCTTTCAGTCTTTGTTTCCAGTGGAGTTCAGCTTAAGCCCGTTCTCCACCATGAATTCAAAATCATCCATCTGAATGTAAATCTGACCTGCTTAAAACCTTCGGTGGCTTCACATTTGCCTCTTACATTGTGGGAACTCTCCAAGGCCGGCAGGGGCCCCATAGGTATATGAATGCTTAAGAAAAGAAGGAATGAGACAATGGGTGCTTGTATTGTAAGGAACCATAACACCCATCTAGTTGTATTCACTGCCTTTTCCATATTACATAGGAAAAGACCAAAATGTACCACCATCTTGGCCAGACAAAATTAGAGGTCCAAAGGAAGTGTGACCGGATACTGACAGAAGACAATGGAGAGCTTGGGGAGGTGGGGGGGCTTTGTGAGCCCTTGGTAAGGACTCCAGCTTTCATTCTGAATGAAATGCAAACCATAGCAGAGTTTGAACAGACAAATTACATAACTTTACTTCTATTTGAAAGAATCACTCTGGGTGCTGTCTAGAGAATATGTTAATAATTTGCATGACTGGAAGTGTGCAAGAGCTAATGGTAGTTCAGACCAGGGTGGTTCAGACCAAGCGGTACAGGTTTGAGATAGACTCGGGTTCTGCTGACATTTTAACGGTAGAGCAAGAGGATTTCCTAACAAGCTGGACATGGGAATGAAACAAAGTAGTTGAGAATGACTTCAATTTTGGTTTGAACAGCCAGAAAAGTTTAGTTGCCATTAACAGAGCTGGGGAAAGCTGTGAGTGGACCACATTGAGAGGGAGAGTTTAAGAAGTCTATTAGCCAGTACCAAGTTGAAAAACATACTTCAGGATATCATCCAGGAGAACGTTTTCAATCTAGCAAGACAGGCCAACATGCAAATTAAGGAAATGCAGAGAACCCCAGGAAGATACTGCATAAGAAGATCAATCAATCCAAGACAGATAATCATTAGATTCTCCAAGGTCAAAATGGAAGAAAAATTGTTAAGGGCAGCCAGAGAGAAAGGCCTACAGAGGGAAGCTCATAAGACTATCAAGCGGCCTTCTCAGTAGAAACTTTACAATTCGGAAGAAATTGGGGGCCAATATTCAGCATTTTCAAAGAAAAGAATTTCCAACCCAGAATTTCATATCTAGCCAAAATAAGCTTCATAAGTGAGGGAGAAATAAGATCTTCTTCACACAAGCAAATGCTGAGGGAATTTGTCACCACCAAACCTGTCTCGCAAGAGCTCCTGAAGGAAGCACTAAATATGGAAAGGAAAAGCCATTACTAGCCAGCAAACAAACTAAAACCACTGAAATACCACAGACCAGTGACACTGTGAAGCAACCACATAAACAAGTCTGCAAAATAAGCAACTACTGTTATGAAAACAAGATCAAATCCACAATAACAATACTAACCTTAAATGTAAATGACTAAATGCCCCAATTAAAGAGACAGAATGGCAAGCTGGATAAAGAACCAAGACCCATTGGCATGATGTTTTCAAGAGACCCTTCTCACATGCAGAGACACTCATAGGCTCAAATAAAGGGATGCAGTAAAATTTACCAAGCAAATGGAAAACAGAAAAAAGCAGGGGTGCAATTCTAGCTTCTTACAATAAGGACTTTAAGCCAACAAAGATTAAAAAAGACTAAGAAGGGCTTTACATAATGGTAAAGGGTTCAATTAAACAAGAAGAGCTAACTATGTGTGATGGTTAATACTGAGTGCAACTTGATTGGATTGAAGGGTACAAAGTATTGATACTGGGTGTGTCTGTGAGGGTGCTGCCAGAAGAGATTAACATTTGAGTCAGTGGGTTGGGGAAGGCAGGTCCACCCTTAATCTGGTGGGCATATACTTATCAACTGCCAGCAAATATAAAGCAGACAGGAAAATGTGAAAAGGAATGACTGGTCTAGCCTCCCGGCCTATATCTTTCTCCCTTGCTGGATGGCTTCTACCCTTGAACATCAGACTCCAAGTTCTTCAGTTTTGGAACTCAGACTGGCTCTCCTTGCTCCTCAGCTTGCAGACAGCCTATTATGGGACTCGGTGATCATGTAAGTTAATACTTAATAAGTTCCCATATATATATATATCCTATTAATACTTAATAAAGTTAATACTTAAACTCCATATGTATATATATAATCTGTGTGTGTGTGTGTGTGTGTATATATATATATATATATATATATATCCATCCTATTAGTTCTATCCCTCTAGAGAACCTAATACACTATCCTAAATATATATGCACCCAATACAGGAGCACCCAGATTCATAAAGCAAGTTCTTAGAGACCTCTGATGAAAAATTCCCATATAATAATAGTGGGAGACTTTAACACACCCTAATGACAATATTAGATCATTGAGATAGAAAATTAACCAGGACCTGAACTTAGCTCTGGTTCAAGTGGACCTGACAGCTGTCTACAGAACTCTTCACCCCAAAACAAATGAATATACATTCTTCCCACTGTCACACAGTACTTACTCTAAATTTGAGCACATAATCAGAAGTAAAATACTCCTCAGAAAATGCAAAATAACTGAAATCATAAGTCTCTCAGACCACTGGGTAATCAAATTAGAGCTCAAGACATTTACTCAAAACCACACAACTACATGGGAATTGAACAGCCTGTTCCTAAATAACTCTTGAATAAATAACTAAATCAAGGCAGAAATCTAAAAGTTCTTTGAAACTAATCAGAACAAAGATACAACATACCAAAATCTCTGGGACACAGCTAAAGCAGTGTTAAAAGGGAAATGTATAGCACTAAATGCCCACATCAAAAAGCTTGAAAGATCTCAAGTTAACAATCTAACATCACAACTAAAAGAACAAGAGAACCAAGAGCAAACAAACCCCAAAGCTAGCCGAAGACAAGAAATAACCAAGATCAGAGCTGAATTGAAGGAGACAGAGACATGAAAAACCCTTCAAAAAAATCACTGAACCCAGGAGCTGGGTTTTTTTTTTTTTTAAGTAATAGACCACTAGCTAGACTAATATAGAAGAAAAGAGAGAAGATTCAAATAAATACAATCAGAAATGTTAAGGGGGATATCACCACTGACTCCACAGAAATACAAACCACCATCAGAGAAGCCCATAAACACCTCTACATACATAAACTATTAAATTCAAAAGAAATGGATAACTTCCTAGACACATACATCCTCCCAAGACTGAACCAGGAATAAACTGAATTCGTGAATACACCAACAGTGAGTTCTGAAATTGAGGCATTAATAGCCTAAAAATAACAACAACAAAAATACCTAGGACCAAACAGATTCACAGCTGAATTCCACCCAGAGGTATAAAGAATAGCTGATACCATTTCTACTCATACTATTCCAAACAGTTGAAATGGAGGGACTCCTCCATAACTTGTTCTATGAGGCCAGGATCATCCTGAAACCAAAACCAGGCAGAGATACAACAAAAAAAAGGAAACTTCAGGCTAATATCCTTGTGAGCATCAATGCAAAAATTCTCAATAAAATACTGGCAAACCAAATCCAGCAGTATATCAAAAAGCTTATCCACCGTAATCAAGTAGGCTTCATCCCTGGGATGCAAGGTTGGTTCAACATACACAAATCAATATATGTGATTCATCAGATCAACAGAACTAAAAACAGAAACTACATAATTATCTCAATAGATGTGGAAAAGGCCTTCAATAAAATTCAACATCCCTTCATGTTAAAAGCTCTTAATAAACTAGGTATTGAATGAACATGCCTCAAAATAATAAGAGCCATATATGACAAACCCACAGCCAATATTATATTGAATGGGCAGAAGCTAGAAGCATCTTCCTTGAAAACCAGCACAAGGGTGCCCTCTCTTGCCACTCCTATTCAACACAGTATTGGAAGTTCTGGCCAGAGCAATCAGGAAAGAGACAGAAATAAAGAGTATTCAAAGAGGAAGAGAAGAAGTCAAGCTATCTTGTTTGGAGATGACATGATCCTATATCTAGAAAACCCCATTGTCTCACCCCAAAAGCTTCTTAAGCCAATAAGCAACTTCAGCAAAGTCTCTGGATACAAAATCAATGTGCAAAAATCACTAGCATTCTTATACACCACCACCAAGCAAGCAGAGAACCAAATCATAAATGAACTCCCATTCACAACGGCCACAAAAAGAATAAAATACCTAGGAATATAGCTAACAAGGGAAGTGAAGGACCTCTTCAAGGAAAACTACAAACCACTGCTCAAAGAAATCAGAGATGACCCAAACAAATGGAAAAACATTCCATGCTCATGGATAAGAAGACTCAATATCGTGAAAATTGCCATACTGCCAAAAGCAATTTACACATTCAGTGCTATTCACATTTAACTACAATTAACATTCTTCACAGAATTAGAAAAAAACTTTTAAAATTCTTATAAAACCAAAAAAGAGCCCAAATAGCCAAGAGAATCCTAACCAAAAATAACAAAGCTAAAGGCATCACAATACCTGTCTTCAAACTATACTACAAGGCTACAGTAACCAAAAAAGCATGATACTGGTACAAGAACAAACACATAGACCAATGGAACAGAATAGAGGCCCAGAAATAAGACCAAACATCTAGAACCATTTGATCGTTGAAAACCTGACAAAAACAAGCAATGGGAAAAGGAGTCCATAATTAATAAATGGTGCTGGGACAACTGGCTAGTCATATGCAGAAAATTGTAACTGGACCCCTTCCTTCCACCACATACAAAAGCCAACTCAAGATGAATTAATGACTTAAATGTAAAATCCAAAACTTGGCCAGGTGCGGTGGCTCACGTCTGAGATCCCAGCACTTTGGGAGGCCAAGACAGGTGGATCACTTGAGGTCAGGAGTTTGAGACCAGCCTGGCCAACTGGTCAGGTGAAACCCTGTCTCTACTAAAACTACAAAAATTGGCCAGCCATGGTGGCGCATGCCTGCAACACCAGCTACTTGGGAAGCTGGGGCAGGAGAATCACTTGAACTCAGGAGGCAGAGGTTGCAGTGAGCCGAGATCACGCCACTGCACTCCAGCCTGGGCAACAGAGTGAGACTCTATCTCAAAAAACAAACAAAGAAAAAATAGCAGAAGTATAAAAACCCTGGAAGACAACCGAGGCAATACTATTCAGGACATAGGCACGGGCAAAGATTTCATGACTTAAACACCAAAAGCAATTTCAACAAAAGCAAACATTTACAAATGGTATCTAAAGAGCTTCTGCATAGCAAAGGAAACTATCATCAGATTGAACAGACAACCTACAGAATCAGAGAAAGTTTCTGCAATCTGTCCATCTGACAAAGATCTAATATTCAGCATCTGCAAGGTACTTAAACAAATTTACAAAAAAAAAATCAACACCATTAAAAAGGGGGCAAAGGAAATGAACAAACACTTCTCAAAAGAAGACATACATGCAGTTAACAAACATGAAAAAAGCTCGATATCACTCATCATTAGAGAAATGCAAATCAAAACCACAATGAGATACCATCTCCCATCTCATACCAGTCAGAATGGCGATTATTAAAAAGAAGAAACATTCACAATTGAGACAAAGAGAATAAAATACCTAAGAATGCAACTAACAAAGGATGTAAAGGACCTCTTCAAGGAGAACTACAAACCACTGCTCAAGTAAATAAGAGAGGACACAAACAGATGGAAAAACATTCCATGCTCATGGTTAGGAAGCATCAATATCATGAAAATGGCCATACTGCCCAAAGTAATTTATAGATTCAATGCTATCCCCATCAAGCTAGCATTGAACTTCTTCACAGAACTGGAAAAAAAAAAAAACAAAAAACACTTTAAACTTCATATGGAACCAAAAGAGAGCCCACATAGCCAAGACAATCCAAAGCCAAAAGAACAAAGCTGGAGGCGTCACGCTACCTGACTTCAAACTATACTACAAAGCTACAGTAATCAAAACAAGATAGTACTGGTACCAAAACAGAGTTATAGACCAATGGAACAGAACAGAGGCCTCAGAAGCAATGCCACACATCTACAACCATCTGATCTTTGACAAACCTGAAAAAAGCAAGCAATGGGGAAAGGATTCCCTGTTTAATAAATGATGTTGGGAAAACTGGTTAGCCATGTACAGAAAGCTGAAACTGGAGCCCTTCTTTATACCTTACACTAAAATTAACTCCAGAAGGATTAGAGATTTAAACATAAGACCTAACACCATAAAAACCCTAGAGGAAAACCTAGGCAGTATCATTCAGGACATAGGCATAGGCAAGGACTTCATGACTAAAACACCAAAAGCACTGGCAACAAAAGCCAAAAGAGACAAATGGGATCTAATTAAACTTAAGAGTTTCTGCACAGCAAAAGAAACAATCATTAGAGTGAACAAGCAACCAACAGAATGGGAAAAAATTTTGCAATCTACCCATCTGACAAAGAGCTAATATCCAGAATCTACAAAAAACTAAAGCAGATTTACAAGAAAAAAACAAACAAACAAACCCATTCAAAAGTAGGTGAAGGATATGAACAGACACTTTTCAAAAGAAGACATTTGGCCGGGCGCGGTGGCTCAAGCCTGTAATCCCAGCACTTTGGGAGGCCGAGGCGGGTGGATCATGAGGTCAAGAGATCGAGACCATCCTGGTCAACATGGTGAAACCCCGTCTCTACTAAGGATACAAAAAATTAGCTGGGCATGGTGGCGCGTGCCTGTAATCCCAGCTACTCAGGAGGCTGAGGCAGGAGAATTGCCTGAACCCAGGAGGCAGAGGTTGTGGTGAGCAGAGATCGCGCCATTGCACTCCAGCCTGGGTAACAAGAGTGAAACTCTGTCTCAAAAAAAAAAAAAAAAAAAGACATTTATGAGGCCAACAAATATATGAAAAATGCTCATCATCAGCGGTCATTAGGGAAATGCAAATCAAAACCACATTGAGATACCATCACATGCCAGTTAGAATGGTGATTATTAAAAAATCTGGAGGCAACAGATTCTGGAGAGGATGTGGAGAAATAGGAACACTTTTACACTGTTGGGAGTGTAAATTAGTTCATCCATTGTGGAAGACAGTGTGGTGATTCGTTAAAGATATAGAAATAGAAATTCCATTTGCCCAAGCAATCCCATTACTGAGTATATACCCAAAGGATTATAAATCATTCTATTATAAAAACACATGCACACATATGTTCACTGTGGCACTGTTTACAACAGCAAAGACCTGGAACCAACCCAAATGCCCATCAATGATAGACTAGACAAAGAAAATGTGGCACATATACACTATGGAATACTATAAAAAAAACAATGAGTTCGTGTCCTTTGTAGGGACATGGATGCATCTGGAAACCATCATTCTCAGCAACCTGACACAAGAACAGAAAACCAAACACTGCAAGTTCTCACTCATAGGTGGGTATTGAACAATGAGAACACATAGGCACAGGGAGGGGAACATCACACACTGGGTATGTTGGGATAACACTGGGAGAAATGCCCGATGTAGGTGATGGGGGGATGGAGACAGCAAACCGCCATGGCATGTGTGTACCTATGCAACAATCCTGTAAGATCTGCACATGTACCTCAGAACTTAAAGTACAGGAAGGAGGAGGACGAGGAGGAGAAAAAAACAACAACAGATGTTGACTAGATTACGAACTAAAAGGAACACTTTTTACATTGTTGGTAGGAGTATAAATTAGCTCAACCATTGTTGAAGACAGTGTGGCAATTCCTCAAAGACCTAGATGCAGAAATACAATTTGACCCAGCAATCCCATTGCTGGGTATAAACCCAAAGGAATAGAAATCATTTATTATAAAGACGCATGCATGCATATGTTCACTGTGACACTCTTCACAATAGCAAAGAGAGAACCAACCTAAATCCCCATCAGTGATAGACTGGCTAAAGAAAATATGGCACACGTATACCATGAAATACTATGCAGCTATAAGAAGGAATAATATCATGTCCTTTGTAGGGATATAGATGGAGCTGGAAGCCATTACCCTCAGCAAACGAACACAGGAACAGAAATACTGCATGTCCTCTTTTATAAGTGGGAGCTGATTGATAACACATGGACACATGGGGGGAAACAACATACACTGGGGCCTGTCAGAGGGTAGAAAGCGGGAGGAGAGAGAGCATCAGGAAAAACAGCTAATGGATGCTGGGCTTAACACCCAGATGATGGGATGATCTGTACAGCAAACCGTCATGGCACACATTTATCTATGTAACAAACCTGCACATCCTGCACATGTACCCCTGAACTTAAAAGTTTGGGGAAAAAAAGTATTAGTCATCCAATGGAAGATTTTCACTTACATTTGACATAGGAACCCAGAATTTAGGAGACAGCAATTTGAGAGTCAGCATATAAATGGGCTTTTCAGGCATTTGCTTGTGCTGTTTACACCACCAGAAAAACTCTCCCAGCCTTTATCAGGCTAAATTTTCTCATTCAAGACGCAGCTCGGGTCTCATCTCCTGCAGTATACCTTCCCATAAATTCCTTTCATTGGTCTCTCCTCTTGCTCTTGAATACCTGATGCAAACCCATATCTCAAAAATATATTAAAATCAATGGTACAAAGAGGTACACCCTCTTCCCCTAGTGCCACCCACCAGACAGTACATTTCTAGGGGTTGAGGGAGCTACACTTTATTTTAACCTCCTCCCAGCCCCGCCACACCCACTGCAGAGTGCCTACCATTCACTAGATCTTTGTTGAAACGAACTTCTGGAGTTATTCTCCATTGTGATCATTCTGCATGGTGCTTTACTCACAGGCAGGATTTGTTCATCTCTGTTTTAGATAGCCCATGCTGATGGGAAGTCCATTTGTTTTAACATTAATAGTAGCTAACACTTACTACATATTTGCTATGGGCTCCTAACAATAGCCCAAAGAGATAGATATTAGTCTCAATTTACAGTTTAGGAAACTTAGAAAGGTGGGATAATTTGCTCAAAGGTACATAGCTTGAAAGTGCTAAAGCCACAAGTCTGATTCTAAAGCCCTTGCTCTTTGACCACTATGTGATGTGGCCTTTCTCTTTAAAAGCAATCTCACAAAATTAAAGAATGGCATGAGAACCACAAAGACAGTAATTTGAACCCAAATGCCTAGGTTATAAACTATTCTAGTATTTTGGTAATTTATTTGGTAACAACTTCATTGAGATACAATTGACATATCTCGGATCACCCATTTAAGTTACACAACTCAGCTAGGCACAGTGCCCACGCCTGTAATCCCAACACTTTGGGAGGCCAAGGCAGGCAGATCGCCTGAGGTCAGAAGTTCAAGACCAGCCTGGGCAACATGGTGAAACCCCATCTCTACTAATGCTACAAAAATTAGCCGGGTATGGTGGCACATGCCTGTAATCCCAGCTACTCGGGAGGCACAATAAGTACTTGAACTATTTACTTATACCACATTATATTCTGTCTTTGCTCCCCAAATGATAAACCCTAGCCAGTTTTTTTCTTTTCTTTTTTTTTTTCCATGAGATGGAGTCTTGCTCTGTCACCCAGGCTGAAATGCAGTAGTGCAATCTCCGTTCACTACAACCTTCGCCTTTAAAGTTCAAGCAATTCTCCTGCCTCAGCCTCCTAAGTACCTGGGACTACAGGCATGTACCACCATGCCCAGCTATTTTTTTTTCTAGTAAAGACAGGATTTCACCATGTTGACCAGGCCAGTCTTTAACTCCTGACCTCAAGTAATCCACCTGCCTCAGCCTCCCAAAGTGGTGGGATTACTGGCATGAACCACTGCACCCAGCCCCTAGCCAGTTTTTCCAAAACTGTAGAAAAGCCTTTTTTTTTTTCCATGTCATTGTTGAAACCAAGATAGTTTAAAATCAAAGTCTTTAATGGGAAATGAAAATATAAACATAAATGAAATTAAGTTTCTGTTTATTCTAAATCTGGACATATAATCAGCAAATTTGAAGGGTTTGTTTGAGATGGTATTACATAGAGATTTTTTGTACACCCGAAATTCAGCTTGGGGAATCCTGGAGAACATCTCAGACAGTCACCCTGCAAAACAGCTAAAACTATGATATGAGAAACCAATATAGCTGTGGGACAAAAGTGATACCATATTAAGCTGCTATCAACAGAGAAAAAGATTATAGAGTTTCAAATATGAGCCTCAAACCAAAAACCACGAAGGCTGACTTCTGAAGTACAAGGATTAATTTGGTTTGGGGAATTTTATGTAGCTTGTTTAGGGTGAAAAACTGCAGGAATTTATGTAATGATTCTCCCAAGTACTGTTTAAGAGGCTGGCTAGTGTAAGCATCTGTTAATATCTCCTTGACAATCAGGAGCATATTTTCAGGCATTCTACCTGTTGTTTAATGATTTTAAGGTATCAATCCTTCTTTAAATTTGGTGTGGTAGGGTCCAACTTAAGCCTTGTTCTAAACTTTTCTGAGTGTGAACAGAAATAGCACCAAGAGATAAAATTCATATGATCATTGTGATTTTAATTTTTGATAGAAGTGGGATATCTATATGGCTGAGAATCTGAATATGCAAACGGACAGTGGCCACACCATGTCTAACAAAACTCTGGCAGCAGTCAGCCTTGGAAGCCAAACCACAACTTTTGCAGCAATAGGCTCAGAATGGCATGGACTTGGTTGGTAACTGCCAGCTTCCCTAATTTTGCCCTCTCTTCCCACTCAAGACCAACAAAAAAAGCCAAGCATGTTCCCTAGATCAATCACATAGGACGCCCACTAGATTCTCATTTTTATCTTCCAATGTTAACAGCCTCCAATGGGAGCATGCCTGAAATCATCTCTTTTTTTTTCACTATAAAGATTTCCTAATTCTTTGCCTATATTTGAGTCTCTGCAAAATACAAGTGATGGAGGCTGACTCCCTGGCTATATATAGCAAGCTCTGAATGAATAGCCTCTGTTCTCACTGGGGCTGTCTTCATATATTTCTATATAACTAAACTATACTTAAATGTTGTATACACAAATGACTCAGAATGACAGGACAGTGCATTAGAGTGTTTTTCCTAGAAGCTGGATGGCAACTCCACCTGGAATGATGTGGTACCAGCCCCACATTCCAATCTCTAAAGTAACTGCATGTGGTAAAAAGATTTAGAAATGTGGGTTATAAATTTTATATATTGCTTATTTCCATTTTTAAAATAATCATTGGTTATTTTTACTTTTGTCAAATTATCTATCTTATCTATACTGGATAACAACTACCCACGTCCTTATGACATTTAACTGGACAACAACTTTTTTCTCCTTATTTCCTAACTTAACAGTTCATAAATTTTTTTTTGAAAAAGGAACATAATTAGTTTAATATATTCATTAGGCAACTTCCTAACTTACCCAAGATAATTACCATCTGGACCTGCTGGTTTAGATTTATTCTAATTGTCAATATATTCCATTACATTACTTTGTTTCTTGCACAGACTGATGAGATAATTCAATTTTTAACCCTTCCCTCATCAAAGTTTGAAAACTCTTAATATTGCTTTAGGATGTTGTAATTTTCACTAGTAGAGAATACTTTCTTTTTCTCTTATCCTCCTTTTCCTTTGTTTCTTCTTCTCTTTTTTTAAAATGGATTTTAGCTCTAAGGGATTTTTTTGGCCTGTGTTGGTCTCTCCTGTAGCCCCAGCACCTAGAACAAAGGCTGACACAATACAGTAAATGCTCAATAAATATTTGTCAAATGAATGGACCACACTTAATAAAGTAATAAAGATTATGTTATTAAAACATAAGAATATTAGATTGGTCAAAATAAATGATCTCAACTTTTAATCCCTGAATCAGATATCAGTGGTCAGAAAAAAAGAACTCCAATAACTTGAATTTTCAATCTCCTTACCCAAGGCCAAATCAACAGCAAGTGACCCCTAATGAATCAGGGGTTAGCAGCACCAAAGTCTGGCTGATGCAGGAGAGGGGTGCTATGAGGGCAGTATGAGCAGGTAGAAAGCCAAGATGAAATATCTGGAATCAAACAACTCCCATTTTTTTCACTCCAGCTCTAAATTTACTAAAGTGAAATGAACATATTTTTAAGCTCCTCTAAGCCTTGGTTTCCTTCTCTGGAAGAGAAATTGTAGATAATAATGGTACCACCCTCACATGTTTGCTCTTAACATAATGAGATAATATCTGTAAGACATATAGTTTCCTGCCTGGCCAAACTGAAAATTTGCCACCAATGGTAAAGATATATAAAAAAAAATGTATGCATACTGACAGCAAGGGGAAAGAAGAGAAAAAACATAAATATTTTAATTGGTGTCACTGTTTCAGGATTATACAGCTGTTTTAGTCAACATTTCCTGTGTCTCTATCTGATTATAGTACCTGTAGCAGAAACTAGAGCACTAGAGGGAGGCAAGAACAGCCCTTGCCCTTGGGACATTTACACACCTATAAAACAATTCAAGAGTACTTACAAATTAACTGGAAAATGAGTGCAAATACTACTCTGTATCAGTACACAAGGAGGGAGGTAGCAGTTTATATATCCCTCACAGCAAAGAAGAAAAAAATGACATCTTTTATATCAGCAGCCTTGACACCTCCTCATTTTTTTTTTTTTTTTTTTTTAAGGGACAGAGTCTCATTCTGTTGCCCAGGCTGGAGTACAGTGACATGAACTTGGCTCACTCCAACTTCCGCCTCCCAAGTTCAATCAATTCTGCTGCCTCAGCCTCCTGAGTAACTGGGATTACAGGCATGCGCCACCATGCCCAGCTAATTTTTGTATTTTTAGTAGAGACAGGGTTTTACCATGTTGGTCAGGCTGGTCTCGAACTCCTGAGCTCAGGTAATCCACCCACCTTGGCCTCCCAAAGTGCTGGGATTACAGTCATGAGCCACCACGTCTAGCCTACATTTCCTCATTTTTAACAATAGGGAAGAACTGTTTGACTTAGGTGCTCCCTCTTTGCCCTATAGCACTGTGTGTATACCTAAGTTAGACTGGGCACAGAAGAGGTGGCAGGGAAGGCTTTTGCTAAATTGAACATCTGTTCAGTGCTGAGACACTAAACGAAGTAAGTGTTGGGGACGCAGAACAGGTCAAAGGAAATCACTGTCTAATGCGGAAAACATAAAAGTTCTGATAAATGCTGTGATAACACAGCATAAAGGGGCCCCAGCCGTGCTGAGGAAAAAGATACAACCAGCCTGGGCATGGCAGGGAGGTGATAAGTTGAATGACTCCTGAGTAGCCTTCAAAGGCCAGTTGGAGTAAGACACATCGGGCAGGGAGAGAACAACAATCCAAGAGGGAAAACAGCATTGGCAAAGGCAAGGAGGAATAGAAAAATAGAATGCTGTCCAAACTCCAAGTAGTTGGAGGGTGAGAGCAAAGGGAGTATGAAGAGGGTGGTGTCTCTATTTTAGCTCTCTCAAAAACAACTATATTTCAAGTTCCCCATGATACCAGTTGAAAAAGTAAAGAAAATTGAGATTTGGATGAAATTTGTCATATTACATGACACCAGTCATCATTACTTCAGCAATTCAATTAATACTTGCTGCACATTTTGTCATGCACGAGAAACCATGCTAAAGAAAGGAGAAAGAGAAAACAGTCCTTAAGGAACTTGCTAATAGTAGAAGACAAGTAAAGAATTTAGCATAAATACAACATGCCAGAAATACCATGAGGAAAGTATAAATAAACACCACATTCAATGAAGGTAAAAAAAATCTCATCTTGTTGGAGAGATCAGAAAATGATTCATGGAAAGAAACTAAGGATTCACAGGATTTTTTTGTGATTTAATACGGAAAGAAGGAAGTAAGTACAGAAATCACATGAGAAGTTTAGAAAACAAGGAATCTAGTTTGGCTAGAACAAAGTGTATAGAGTAGAATGATGGGAAAGATTGCTAGAAAGTTAGGACCATTAGGAGATTCTAAATTCTGCTACATTTTTAGTAGGAAGCAGCATGATTGGGGCCACATTTTGGTACAAATAACCAAGCAGTGGACCTTTAGGAGAGAGTCAGATAGGGAGAATATGAATCTCACCAAATTCAGATTCTTATGTTTGAAACATGAGAAGAAAGAAACATGTTAGGAGGCATTTATAGTAATCTAGGCAGGATGAGATTAGGACCTGAACCGAACACTACCTTTCTGCAGGAATGAGAATACCAGAGGGAAATCACTGGTAGCACACCACCACCATTCATAACAGCACTCACCTGCCAGGTTTCCACAGCTCCTTCTACTCCTCTGGCTCCACAGTCCACGGTGAGGGAGCCAGCAGTGCAGAGCTGTTGGGCAAGTAAACACAGACGGCCAAAGCACAAACTGGGGCCCACCAACAGGTGTTCTGGGGAAACCAATAAGGTGTTCCAGGAAAATAGCACACTCTCGCAAGACTTTTTAATTACCAACTCTAAGTAATAACTATTACCCACATTTATTCTGTAAACACTTTAAAAATTAACCCAAGGAACATTTCCCCTATCTGGCAATGTCGCAGCACATCAACATCAAATATATAAAAACTACAATAGTTTTTTGGAAAAAAAAAAAAAAAAAAAAAAAAAAAAAAAAAAGCCAAAATCATCATAAATAAGTCTTTGGTGCCCCCTAGAGGAATGTTCCGTGCAATCCTTAAAATAATTACCCTCTCCATATAGAAATAATGGGTCCATTTCAATTCTTAAAAACACTTAGAGCATTTTCTATATGGGACACTATTTTTAACTGAAATAATTGAAAATGAAGCCATAATAACGTAGTGCAAACCAGGAACATAACAGACACCATTTTTAAAAGGTTCAGTAAATTTTTGTGTCATACATTTATGATAATTTTGCTTTGTGTCATAAACTAAGAAAAGGTAATGGAAAAACTTAGCTTTACACAGTGCTAAGTATCAAAATATTTTATCAAGAGCAATTCAATCCTTAATTTATTTCCAGGAAATCCATAATAAGACTTAAGTCTTTCAATAGCTAGGATAAATATAAATCCATACTTGTACCCATAGAAATGCTAGTATAAAATTATCAGATAGCTCTTAAAGTGTTGTTTCTATTTATATTATTTGCCACAAGTTTCTGGCCATTTTTCCCTAAACTATGGAGTTAGAAACAGAAAATACCTGTCTTTCCTGAAACGAAGTAGAAGTCAAATAGGAAGAATAATCTTACCCATCAGTTAGCAAGACTGTCAAAGCAACAGACCGTAGGGAGAAAAGATTTAATGGTTATTATCCCAAATCAACAGAAGGTAAAACATTAATTGGCTTTCCTCTTAATTAATACTATTCTTTTCTTATATCCCTGTTAAGAAGTGAAACAAAATGCAAAAATAAAGTGCTAAATTTAATCATTCCTCGTTTTGGAACCTCCTTGGGAGCCCACAGTATATCCATCAACAAATGTTTGGTGAATTTTTCTCATTGCTTTCCTCACATATTAATATAAAACTGATAAGAATGTAGCATTAACTGGAATGTAGTAATACTTACTCTTGTTTTCGTGCCCTGTGTCTTTAAATTATAAAGACTTTGGAACTGGAACAGTTCTCTTTCTTTTGAGCTGAGGTCTTGGATAATAGCATATTCATTTAACTCATTTAGATTTTCAAATAACACAGTTGTTGAAGCTACTCAGGAGTTAAGGAACTACTTTATTCAAGCAAAATTATCATCAGTTAGAATTCTTTCCCCCCAGGTAGACCAACTTATTTTCTAAAATAGGAAAGCAATTTTCCATCTATGACATTGTAATTACATGTGTACTGAGTTTACCAATAGCTCTACAAAGAGTTTTGTTATGTACTAATGGTAGACTGCCTGTTAGAATACTGGCCCCTACTTTCTGTGATTTTTTTTTTTTTTTTAATCACTCCTAGGCTGGAGTGCAATGCTGTGATCATGGCTCACTTCAACCTTGGCTTTCTGGGCTCAAGTGATCCTCCAACCTCAGCCTCCTGAGTAGCTGGGACTAGCATATACCACCATGTCCAGCTAGGTTTTAAAGTTTTTGTAGAGACAGGGTCTCACTATGCTGCCCAGGCTGGTCTCACACTCTTGGGCTCAAGTGATCCTTCTGTCTCAGCCTCCCAAAGTGCTGAGATTATAGGTGTGAGCCACCATGCCCAGCCTAAGCCACACACTTTTTTGGCAAGCTGGTTAGAAGTTGATTTTATAGTTTCATTCAGTATGATGATAATATTATCAAGGTTTTATGTTTGATATCCCCACAAATGCTATTTCACTTGATTCTATTTACATGCAGCCAAATGTGTAGTAATGCAAATTGGTGTAAGAGTTTCAAGAGTGGGTTCACAATACATCATGCCTTTTAACTTTCTTTTCCCTAACTTTTATTTATAGATCAAGGATATAGGCTCAGAAACAATAGTAACTTGCATAAGGGAATAACTAGTAAGTAGTTTAGGAGACCAACCTAAGCTTTTTTACTTCTAGCCTAAGGATCCTTCCATTACACCCTAACTGGTTCTAAGAAAGATCAGCTAAAAGAATGATTAGACCAAATATATTCATGACTATATATTTACATATAATTTAAGAAATCATTTAGATCCCACTTTTTGTGTATTAAAGCATTAATCACTGAAAATTCAATATTAAGAAATTAATAAATTATTAGGATAAAATTGGTTACTATTTTATAATGGTTTACTTGGATGAAAGTACCAATAGCACCAAAAATAGCAACAGTTCAATAACTATTTACCAAGCACCTTTTACTTTCCTGGCACTATGCTAGATGCTAGGGATGCAATGGTATTTAAATCAAACATGATAGTCCAGAACTTCACAGAGCTTCCAGGGAAAGAAAGTTAACAACTGATTTTAATAAAGTGAACTAAGTGCCATGACAGAGGATGTACAAGCTGCTACAGAAGTACACAGCTGGGATAACTAGTCCAGTCAGTTATGAAAATACACAATAACAATAGTGTTACTTTTTTCTGGGTAGCTGGATCCTCTGTTCGACAAAGCTGTACACAAATACTGTATGATATTCTTCTAGTTAACCTACGTATCTCTTGACCCATCACAAATACAAAACCCACCAAAAAGAAATGCCTTTTGAAGTTCTACTCTGATCTTTATTCTTCAGAAGGTTTCATTAAAAAATCATTAAAATATGGGCATTCAGTCTTTATACTATTTCATTCGTATCTACTTCATTGTAATATTTAAATCCCAAATAAAACCAGACATATAAAAAACATCAAATTCCATTGTTTCACAGTAACTGTAGTAAAGAGAACCACTTATTTATTGTTGATTTCTAAAATTAAATGTGATAAAATCTTTTTTACCACCAAAGTGAAATAAAAGATTACACTCTAATGGGCTGGTGTATTAGTCCATTTTCACACTACTGACAAAGACATAGCTGAGACTGGGAAGGAAAAGAGATTTAATTGGACTTATAGTTCCATGTGGCTGGCGAGGCCTCAGAATCATGGCAGGAGGCAAAAGGCACTTCTTACATAGCAGTGGCAAGAGAAAATGAACCTGTAAAAGCAGAAACCCCTGATAAAACTGTCAGCTCTCATGAGACTTACTCACTATCACGAGAATAGCATGGGAAAGACCTGTCCCCGTGATTCAATTACCTACTCATGGGTCACTCCCACAACACGTGGGAATTCAAGGTAAGATCTGGGTGGGGACACCACCAAACCATATCATTACACCCCTGGCCCCTCCGAATCTCATGTCCTCACATTTCAAAACCAGTTATGCCTTCCCAACAGTGCCCCAAAGTCTTGACTCATTTCAGCATTAACTGAAAAGTCCATAGTCCAAAGTCTCATCGGAGACAAGGCAAGTCCCTTCTGCCTATGAGCCTGTAAAATCAAAAGCAAGCTAGTCACTTCCTAGATAATAGACACAATGGGAGTACAGGTATTGGGTAAATACAACTGTTCCAAATGGGAGAAATTGGCCAAAATAAAGAGGTTACTGGGCCCATGCAAGTCTGAAAACCAGCAGGACAGCCAAATTTTAAAGCTCCAAAATGATCTCTTCTGATACCAAGTCTCACATCCAGGTCATGCTGATGCAAAAGGTAGGTTCCCATGGTCTTAAGCAGCTCTGCCCCTGTGGCTTTGCAGAGTACAGCCTCCCTCCTGGCTGCTTTCATGGGCTGGCATTGAATGTCTACATCTTTTCCAGGCACATGGTGCAAGCTGTTGGTGGATCTACCATACTGGGGTCTGGGGGATGGTGGCCCTTTTTTCACAGCTCCACTAGGCAGTGTCCCAATAAGGACTCTGCGTGGGGACTCAGATGCCACATTTCCCTTCTGTACTGCCCTATCAGCGGTTCTCCATGAGGGCCCTGCCTCTGCAGCAAACTTCTGCCTGGGCATCCAGGCATTTTCATACATCTTCTGAAATCTAGGCGGAGGTTCCCAAACTCAATTCTTGACTTCTGTGCACCCGCAGGCTCAACACCACATGGAAGCTGCCAAGGCTTGGGGCTTCCATCCCCTGAAGCCACAGCCCAAACTGTACATTGGCCCCCTTCAGCCACAGCTGGCATGGCTGGGACACAGGGAACCGACTCTCTAGGCTGCACACAGCATGGGGACCCTGGGCCAGGCCCACAAAATCACTTTTTCCTCATGGACCTCCAGGCCTGTGATGGGAGCGGCTGCTTAAAAGGTCTCTGACGTGGCCTGAAAACATTTTTCCCATGGTCTTAGGGATGAACATTAGACTCCTTGCTAATTATGCAAATTTCTGCAGCCAGCTTGAATTTCTCCCCAGAAAATGGGTTTTTCTTTTCTATTGCATAGTCAGGCTGCAAATTTTCCAAACATTTATGCTCCATTTCCTTTATAAAACTGGATGCCTTTAACAGAACCCAAGTCATATCTTGAATGCTTTGCTGCTTAGGAATTTCTTCTGCCAGATACCCTAAATCATGTTTCTTAAGTTTAAAGTTCCATGAATCTCTAGGGCAGGGGCAAAAGGCCACCAGTCTCTTTGCTAAAACATAGTAAGAGTCACCTTTACTCATGTTCTCAATAAGTTCCTCATCTCCATCTGAGACCACCTCAGCCTCGACTTTATTGTCCATACTGCTGTAAGCATTTGGGCAAAGCCATTCAACAACTCTCTAAGAAGCTCCAAAATTTCCCACATTTTTCTCTCTTCTTCTGAGCCCTCCAAACTGTCCCAACCTCTGCCTGTTACCCAGTTCCAAAGCCGCTTCCACATTTTTAAGTATCTTTTCAGCAATGTCCCACTCTACCAGTAGCGATTTACTATATTAGTCCATTTTCACGCTGCTGATAAAGACATATCTGAGACTGGGGAGAAAAAGAGGTTTAATTGGACTTAAAGTTCCACATGGCTGGGAGGTCTCAGAATCATGGCGGGAGGCAAAAGGCACTTCTTACATGGTGGTGGAAGAGAAAATGAGGAATGAAGAAGCAAAAGTGGAAACCCCTGTTAAACCCATCAGATCTCCTGAGACTTATTCACCATCCCGAGAATAACACAAGAAAGACTCACCCCCATGATTCAACTACCTCCTCCTGGGTCCCTCCCACAACATGTGGGAATTCTGGGAGATACAATTTGAGATTTGGAGAAGAGGACACTCCAAATATCAAACCATATCAGCTGGGTAGCCACAAAATGACAAAATTGATAATAACACCAAGAGATCAGTATGACTGCAATATATACAAGACAATAAGAAAGTGCCTCATGATGGAGTAGAAACAGGATCCCAGATTCCTTTACTCCAGATTCCTTCATTGTACTACTGACATTTTTCACATGTAAAGTGGTAAAAGAAGTGGTTCTATTTCCTTTTGTATTATTCTGTAATAAAATAAAAATTCATAAGATATTGGGAAATGTGAGTATTTAAAATGACACATTAAATTGAATAGAAAACATTGCATTTCATTTTTTAAAAATATATCAAGGAACTGGATCTGTGATTTTTAAGATCTAGAAAGTCACTGCAGGAATGCCATTTAGGCCAGGCAGAAATCAACAGTATAAAACAGCAATACTGTTCATACGAAAGATGAAGATATGCTTTGATCTGAGCCGCAGAAAGAGAGGGTTTAGGCCAGGCACAGTGGCTCATATCTGTAATTCCAGCACTTTGGGAGGCCAAGGTGGGCAGATCACATGAGTCAGGAGTTCATGACCAGACTGGCCAACATGATCAAACTGCATCTCCACTAAAAAATACAAAAATTAGCTGGGCACAGTGGCAGGCTCCTGTAACCCCAGCTACTCAGGAGGCTGAGGCAGGAGAATCGCTTGAACCCAGGAGGCAGAGGCTGCAGCGAGCTGCGATTGCGCCACTGCCCTCTGGCCTGGGTGACAGAGCAAGGCTCTGTCTCAAAAAGAATAAATAAATAAAGAGAGGGTTTACATTAAGTTAACCAAATAATCAAATTTATAAATTAAGAGAATCAAAACTGAAATAAATTTCCTAAAAACAAACTTCTCTTATAGAGAAAAGTTAAGCCTAAGTGAAGAACATTAACTAGTAAATTGATCCTGATGTGAAAGATGTCTCAGGAAATTTATGAGTAAATATAATTTAGCCTCCTTTTAGAAATGATATAGATGAAAATTTAATATTTAGCAGCTAATCAAAATTTTATAGCAAGGTAAGCAACAAGTTAAAATTTCAGACAGATTTCCCTCACATATGTCTATATCTAACTCATATTTTAAACGACTTTGTTAAAACAGCAAATAAGGGCTACATTTAAATCTATGCACAGGAGAACGATCCAAGATGGCCGATCGCTAACATCCCGGGATTGCAGCTCTCAGGGAAGGCGCGGAGAACTAGAGGACGCCACACTTTCAAAGTCTGGTCGCTCATGGAGCAGAAGATCCCCCAGTGGTGGAAACACAGGAGTCGCCAGCGCGACTCTCGTGGTCGGCACAGCGGTTCCGCCGGCACCTCGACGCGGCAGCGCTTGGCGCAGAGTAAACAGGACCGGTTCCCCTTCTGACCGAGGTTTGGAGCCCCAGGAAGGCAGAGTCGCCTACTACGGACACAAGAAGGAAGCCAGACAGGAGAATCCTGGGCAGAAAAGCACCATCAGTTTTAACGCTGCTGCTCTGGCCCTGGGAACTAACAACCTGGACGTCCACTCAAGAGACCTAATCTGAAAGTTGGTAATTTCAAAGAGACAGGAGGATAAATTTACAATGATGGGAAGAAACCAGCGTAAAAAAGCTGAGAATACTCAAAGTTAGAACGCCTCTCCCTCTAAAGATGATCACAGTTTCACGTCAACAATGGAACAAGGCTTGATGGAGAATGAGCGCATCCCAATAACAGAATCACGCTTCAGGGAATGGATAAGAAACTTCTGTGAGTTAAAAGAACATGTTGTAGCCCAACGTAAAGAAACTAGGAACTTTGAAAAAAGGTTTGATGAAATCCTATTGAGAATAGACAACTTAGAGAGGAGTATGAGTGAATTAATGGAACTGAAGAATACAATACAGGAACTCCAAGAAGTATGCACAGGTTTAAACACTCGAATTGTTCAAGCAGAAGAAGGGATATCAGAGGTCAAAGTCCAACTTAATGAAATAAAATGTGAAGAAAAGATTAGAGAAAAAAGGATAAAAAGGAATGAGCAGGGTCTCCGGGAAATGTGGGACTATGTGAAAAGACCAAATTTACGTTTGATAGGTGTACCTGAATGCGACGGAGGGAATGAATCCAAGCTGGAAAATACCCTTCAGGATATTATTCAGGAAAATTTTCCTAAACTAGCAAAGCAGGTCAACATTCAACCCCAGGTAATACAGAGAACGCCACAAAGATATTCCTCAAGAAGAGCAACCCCAAGGCACATAATCGTTAGATTCACCAGGGTTGAAACGAAGGAGAGGATACTAAGGGCAGCCAGAGAGAAAGGTCAGGTTACCCACAAAGGCAAGCCTATCAGACTTACAGCAGATCTCCCGGCAGAAACTCTACAGGCTGGAAGAGAGTGGGGGCCAATATTCAACATCCTCAAAGAACAGAACCTTCAGCCCAGAATTTCATATCCAGCCAAACTAAGCTTCACAACTGAAGGAAAAATAAAATCTTTTATGAACAAGCAAGAACTCAGAGATTTTATTACCACCAGGCCTGCTTTACAGGAGCTTCTGAAAGAAGCATTACACACAGAAAGAAATAACCAGTATTAGCCTTTCTAAAAATACACCAAAAAGTAAAGAGCACCAACATAAAGAAGAATTTACACCAACAAATGGATAAAACAGCCAGTCAACATCAAATGGCAGTAACCCTAAATTTAAATTGACTGAATTCCCAATCAAAAGACACAGCCAAAACCCAATGGCATGTTACATCCAGACCTGTTTCACATGCAGGGATACACAAGGACTCAAAACAGAGGGATGGAGAAGGATTTACCAACCAAATGGAGAGCAAAAATAAATAATAAATAAATAAAAAGCAGGAGTTACAATTCTTGTATCGGATAAAATAGATTTTAAAGCAACAAAGATATAGTGGTAAAAGGATCAATGCAACAACAAGAGCTAATGATCCTAATACCCAGATACGAGACTTAGATTCAATGAGACAGAAAATTAATAAGGATATCAAGGACTCGAACTCAGATCCAGAACAAGTAAACTTAATAAATATTTATAGAGCTCTCCACTTAAAATACACAAAATATACATTCTTGTCAATACCACATCACACCTACCCATTAGTTTAAATGAAACATTGATTGGCCATTATTAATACCCAATTTTTTTCAAAATAAAGCAATATTTCCATTTACTCTCCCTCTTTCTCTTCCTCTTTCTTCCTCTCCTTTACTTATTTTTTTTCTTTCCTTCTCTCAAAAAAAAAAAAAATCTATGCACAGATTGTGAACACAGATATGTATACACATCAGTTACCCATACACAAACAAAAAAATTATGAAACTATCTTCAAATTTTGCCCTGGTATTAGTAATTTGTTCAACAGTAGAACTCATCTCTTTCTTAGCCCGGCGCAGTGGCTCACGCCTGTAATCCCAGCATTTTGGGAGGCTGAGGCAAGTGGATAATTTGTGGTCAGGAGTTCGAGACCAGCCTGGTCAACATGGTTAAATCCTGTCTCTACTAAAAAACACACACACACACACACACACAAAAATTAGATGGGTATGGTGGTGCGCACCTGTAATCCCAGCTATTCTGGAGGCTAAGGCAGGAGAACTGATTGAACCTGGGAGGTAGAGTTTGCAGTGAGCCAAGATCCTGTGAGATCATGCGACTGCACTCCAGCCTGAGGAGACAGAGACCATGCTTCAAAACAAACAAACAAACGTATCTCTTTTTTGCTGCTGTTCTATAAATGTAACATGCAAACTCAAATCATTTTTGGAAAAAGGTACTTTATAAATAACTTAGTAAATCTTCACACTTAAATCTGTCTTTTCCAACCAGACCAAATTTGTCAGAATATTAATATCCAGATTAGATTAAATAAATGAAATCTGTGCCTATAGTTCTAGAATTTTTTAAAAGCACTTATTTAAAATGTGTTACTTATAAGCATATATTAACTAAGAGTCCCATTATGAATAACCACATACTTCCAATAATTTCTTCTTTATATCTTCCTAGTTATTAACATTCAGTAAATTTTACTTAACCAGAGATTGAAATTACAGAATAAATTTAATGGAACTTCTGAAAATATTTTATTTATATTCCATTTCCACCAATTACTCATTTTCCAAATCTACAAGGCCATCTGTCTCAAGTTCAAAATCTTTAAAATTATTTGAAAAACTATTTTTTTAAAAAATGATTGAAAAGCATTTCAACAGAGTAATGAAATGCACAAATTTAAAATGTTACATACAACAATAAAATACATATAACAACAATGAAAAATCTTTATTTAAAACACCAAGTTATTAAAATGGGTAAAATGACATAGTAAAATAAAATTTTTTCAAAACTCACTTTAAAGAAAACATACAATTACATGGATTATAATATATACAAAATAGGAAATAAATCATCACCTATCATTAATGGGAAGATCTGCATGTATTCAAAATATTCATAATTTTAAGTCAGATACATAGAACACTGTGTTAGTGCTTCTACATTTAGTCTCTTTAGAGGCGTTTTAAATTCCGCTTACTCTGGGCACTTCCTGGGACAGCATCTTTTCTATTTCTTGGCTTTGCTGCTCCTCTACTACATTCTTCAGACCCATGATAAGCACACAAACATAACACACAAAAGTCAAAACCACAGGCTGTGCGGCTACACAGTCCCCTTTTCTTATATGGCTGGTACTTAGCAGGGGATTGGCACCTTGGGCAAGGTTTTATTGCTTCATCAATAAAAAGTGTTTTGGCAACCTGCAGTGAAAGCACACACACTAAATCTTCTGGTGTCACATAGAGGAGCACTTTATTTCAAACTATGTAAATATTTATTTCTAATAACTTATAATAAATACTCACCTTAACATATTCTTCCTGCTTACTACTTAAGTGAGTAACAGAAGAGCTTGCTAGAGGTGTCAAAACTTCTCCCCAGGGAGAAAATGTTGACCCTTGCTCTCTCTGAGAACCAGGTATCCTAGCCTGTGCCTGCACAGATCTTAAAGCTGAGCGATTTAAAAGCTGGAGCCGAGTGGCAGCATCCTCAACATTTAATGCAGCCCCCTGTAGTAAAGGACAAGAGGCATCAATACTGCAATACCAACACAGTTCCAGGAGAGCTTTCTGACGCACATGGATTTATATGCTTTCAAGAGGTTTTTTACCATCAGAATTCTCTCCCTAGACCATTCCTTTTTAGGAAAAAAAAAAAAAAGACCTTGTCTCACTTAACATACAAACGTTAAATAAACATAAAAAGAAAAATGTTAAAATTAAATTCTACATCTAAGTTTCTATGACTGGTTATTTTTCCATTTATTTTAAACTTGGTTCAGCAAACCTTTCCTGGAAAGGACCAGATAATATAATGTATAGTCTAGACACTGTGGGCCATGTAGTTGCAGCTACTCAACTCTGTGGTTGTAGAAAAAGCAGCCGTAGACAAGAAGCAAACAAAAGAGTGGAGAAAACCATCAAACAGTTTTCTTTTAAAATTGTTTTTGTTTTGGTAAATAACACATTAGAATAGTTCAAGTAGAAAGCAACCAGTCCATGTTGGGATAGGACAGCAAAGGGCCCCAGGAAGGATGTCTCTGAGGAAAAGAAGGAACAGGTAGAATACCTGATTTGTGTGGACTTACACAGAGGAGACTTTCAGTTCTGGTGGATAATGGGAGATGAATCAGGGATCTGTATACAGAAAAACTAAGCAAAAATAAATAAATAAAAGTGAGAGAAAAAACTACGCAATTATTAACTGGAGGGAAAAAGTTATACTAGAAAGAAAGTGTAATCATAGTGTACAACATATAACAGCTGTGAAAAAGTAATAATATCAATACAGTCCTTATAATGTCAGCACCTAATTCTGATTCGTTCCCAAATGGTGGTGTAATTATAGTCGTAATATAGGAGAAGAGAAAAGGAATTCAGAGAAAGAGGGGTTATGCAGGTGGTGGTAGTAGTAGTGAGGGGTTAGAGAGTAAAGAAATGGCAGGGAAATAAAATTATGTGGAAATATGAAGGTAAACACTAAAAGAAAGTGTTGAAAATGATTGTATTGATGTAACAAGAATCAAGTGGATGAAGGCATAATAGTATGTTTTGTTATGATAACCTAATTTGACTTTTTAAACCATGTATTATTTTGAAAAAGATTTTAAAAAGCAAGTCAAATAAGCAAAAGAACATAAGAAAGGAGGGAGGCCGGGCGCAGTGGCTCAAGCCTGTAATCCCAGCACTTTGGGAGGCCAAGGCAGGTGGATCACGAGGTCAAGAGATCGAGACCATCCTGGTCAACAAGGTGAAACCCCGTCTCTACTAAAAATACAAAAATTAGCTGGGTGTGGTGGTGCATGCCTGTAGTCCCAGCTACTCGGGAGGCTGAGTCAGGAGAATTGCTTGAACCCAGAAGGCGGAGGCTGTGGTGAGCCGAGATCATGCCATTGCACTCCAGTCTGGGTAACAACAGCGAAACTCCGACTCAAAAAAAAGAGAAAGGAGGGAAAGTACAGTTCTTTAAGAAGCCGAGTTTTTTAAAAAAGTGATTGCTAGAATATGAAGATACAAACTTTTGGTTTTTTTGAGACAAACTTTAACTCTGTCATCCAGGCTGGAGTGCAGTAGCATGATCTCAGCTCACTGCAACCTCCACCTGCCAGGCTCAAGCGATCCTCCTGCCTCAGCCTCCCAAGTAGCTAGGATTACAAGCCTGCACCATCATGCCCAGCTAATTTTTGTATTTTTAGTAGACACGGGGTTTCACCATGTTGGTCAGGCTGGTCTTGAATTCCTGACCTCAAGTGATCCACCAATCTTGGCTTCCCAAAGTGCTGGGATTACCGGCATGAGCCACTGTGCCTGGCCAAATATGAGAATAGAATATTTCTTTTTTGTTGTTTTTGAGAATAGAATATTTCATTCTCTGGAGTTACCTGGAGGGTTGCCAGTACAATCATGCTTCTTCCTTAGAGGAGTTAAGAAGTATATGAAGTCAAATGTTAAAATACTTAATCAGTGCATGCTTTAACAACTGTTTTTTAAGTTCTGTCCCTAGCACGTAGGGCAGCATTCGAAAAAGAGATGTTAAGAAGGCAATTAATATCTTCCCTTTTATAAACTTCCAGAGCCAGCTGCTGCAGCAGTAAGTAGCCACGAGCTCTGAATGGGTGAAAATATAAAATAAAACAGTAAGTCAAAGTTTTCGTTAATAGCAGTCCCTAATAGTTCACTGTAATGAGAAACCTGCCAATCTGTATCTAGGTGTTCCTATTTGTTTATGCCATGCTTCATTCCAATTATTATATTTAGTCAAATTAGAAATTTATATTATGTTATTACATATTTTTCACTAGAACAAGAATGAATCAGTGAACTCTCAGATTCTTTTTTGGTCTAAAGTTAAATTATAATCAAACATGGGTACTAGAGTCATCAGATGCCTATTATACAAAATAGCATGCCTGAGAATCCATCAGCTTCTGTAAGACTTTTCTTGTAACTTTAAAGCCAGAATTCAAATCCTCAAGGGAGTGCAAGTTTATGATGCTTCACAGGTGATCTGCTATGCTCACTCACCTCCAGGCTTGTACATACGCTATTTTCTCTGCTAAAACCCTCTTCACTGTCTTCACCTGGCTAACTGCTAACTCATCATTCAGGTCTCAGTTGAGATGCACTTCTCTTGATTCTCAAGTATCAGTCAAAAACTCCTTTAAATAACTCTGGGCTCCCCCTAACACACCAGGATTGTAGTCACCTATTTACCTATATCACCCCCAGGTGTGTGCTCCAAAAGAGCAGGAACCAAGTCAGAAATGTTCAGCATTGTAATGTGAGCACTGGCACAGCTACTAGCACATAATGTCCACTCAAAAGACTGGATTAAGAATGCTAGAAAGGTGTCGTATTGTAATTAGGATTCAGCATATCACTGGTATTCAAATGCTGCTAAGAGCACATATACTTAAGCAGCAACAAATCCCAATAAGATGTTCTTGATGCTATTCCACTTACAGACTGGGTGAAAATGGAGTTTGGGAAAACTAAAGAATTTATGAGTGAATGTTTGTTAAATGGAAAAGGTTAAAAGAACAGGAAAACCAAATTAGGTTGTCTAGCAACATGAGATTATTATGTATTTATACAAATCATTTTACAGAATTATTACATACATTACCTCAGAATCTGTTTTCAGTTGCGTAATATAAAATTTCCTCCTCCGATTTGCATTTTTATCTTGAACAACAATTTCACGCCAATTTCTGCTTACCTTCCAAACACTGTAACAAAAATATCCATCCTTATATTGTATACATTTTATAGGATCAACATTTTGTTGTATATGCTAACTAATGAGAAAAAAATTGTTTTAAAGATTTGGGGCAGTAAATTTAAACCTAAAAATTTACATAAGAATATTACTTGGCCAACATAGTTATTTCATATCGATTCATCATATAAAAGAAGTCCTATTAAAATATAAGGCATATGCCATTATAATACAGATAGATTGCTCTTTTATAAATGGTCATATAAAGCCAATATGAGTCCACTGGGAGACTAAGAGGATTTAACTTCAAAAGTGACATTAAAAATTTGGAACAAGAGATGCAGGAAATGATTGTCATCTTTAACACAAGATGAAAATGATTGTCTTGATGTCAAGAGGTTTTATCAATTTCTCCTATTCCTGTGTTTAACAAATCTCTGTCGTTTTGATTATATAAACACAAGCACAATCAATCCTTCATTGGCATTACTAAGTGCCAACTATAAATACTATTATGGGTTGCACCACAGAGTTCCTATTTTATTAACCAGTTTATGAGAATGAAGCAGCTAAAGAAAAAACACAATTTTTGTCCAGTGATTGCTGATTTATCAATAACTGACAATATTATTATTAAAAAGTAATACCTTGACTGTTAATCTGGTCTTTTTTTGTTATTCTAACAATCAAAGGGAATAAGGTCAGAAAAAGATTGAAATAAAGAAGTCACTTCTTACAGAGAGTCCCAGTTGTCAACACTATTCTTCCAGCTACTATGGCTGCTTCAATTGCTGTTGACTCTCTCTAAGCTGATAAATATGCCCTAGATCAGAGGGAAGGAAAAGAACAGGCAGAAAGCCACCCAGTAATGGGGAAGAGGGCTGGGTGTGGTGGCTCACGCCTGTAATCCCAGTACTCTGGGAGTCCAAGGTGGAAGGATCACTTGAGCCCAGGAGTTCCAGACCAGCCTGTGCAACACATAGTGAGACCCCATCTCCACAAAAACTAAAAAACAAAACAAAAATCCAAGCACCTTATAAAAAACTCTTGGCATCAAGAAAGAAACTCACTAACTTCCTGCATGTTCCTCCATAACCATTGCCTTATAGATGATGGTTCCACACGACTTCTCTACTTCACTGTCATGGCATTCCCATGGGTCTTATCTTCTGATAGTCTTGCAACTCCCCCAAATTGGCATGAACAGAGTCTCCTTTTAGTCTTTGTAACCCTAGTTCCCACTCTCAATACTCTGAAATGTGTTTATTATGTAGCAGCATTCACTCTACTGCAACATCTGTGAACACAAATTCTTCAGTTTCTAATCTCTTGAAAGTCCCCAAAGTCATTAACTTTCACTGCTGTGTTAACAATAAAAATTAAATAATCCACACTCCCCTGGTCTCTGGAAAGATCAAACCCTAAAATGAAAGCTAACTATTGTTTTTAAATTCTAGAACTTAAATAATTAAGTGGTATTCTTTGTATATTGTCATTTCTCAGTCACCACAATGCATTACATTATTTCTGACCAAGTGTCATAACTTTAATACTACTTGCAATCTGACAATAGGATCTGAACTATTAAATAAATCATCGAACAACTTCCATGGAATAGAGCTTGCATTCCTGAAAATTCGAAGTTCAACTTTTAGCAACTCTCCTTCCAAATGACAGTGATAAGAACTTTATACAAAAAAAAGAGACGATATTATTGCTACTTAAGCTTTTAAACAGAAGGAACTGTATTAGCAAGCTCTGTTGAGAAGTTCACTTAAACTACCTTTGACATAAGACAATAAAATATAGAGATAATAAAACAAGAAAATAAGTAAAGGATAACCACTCAAGTCACAGAAAAACTTTCCAACTTAAAAAAAAAAAGTTGTATTTCATAAACAACTCTTACTTCTTACCTGCATAGGCTCTCTGCAGTCAAGGAATCTAAAACCATAGCAAGAATATGCTTTAAATTTCTATATTTCAATTCTGTTAAGATATCCAGTTTTTCTATACCCATCTTCTTGCCAATCAGTCCTGCAAGTATACACTGTAATACAGCTATTTTCCCCCCATCCCCTTCCTCTAAGAATTCATGTCCACTATTTTGCTGGCTTCTTTTTCTTTTGCTTTTCATGAAGAGCTCATGCACCAATTGCAAGGCTGGGGTCTTTGATAAATTCTTTAAACTAAAGGTTGAATCCCCACTCTCATCACTGTTCAGTTGACCCTCTGAGATAGCAGAAGCAGCTGCTGCTCTTTTTTCAGAGCCAGGGTGGACAATCTGCTTTTCCTCTTCTGTCTCTGACTGTGAGCCTTGCTCCCGAAGGGTGGACAGTCTTCTCGACCTTTTAAGATGCCTTGTCTTTCTTATGGTGTCCCCCACTTTGGGAGTCCCCTTATGTTTCTGGAATAGTTCTTGAAAAGAACCCTCCTGGTCAGAGAGGGAATATTCTGATTTCTCCAAGCTAAGTGAGTTAAAACCACTGTCTTCAGGCGTTGAAATATTGCCCTTCACTTCAGGTGAAGGAGAAAGTATTTGAATTGCATTAAATTTAATGTTTGATACAAGATTACTTATTGGAGTCACAAATATGTCCTCATCTGTTCCACAAGTTGTTCCACTAACAGAGGAGCCCAGGGGCTCTGGACATGTATTCTCATCATTAATGCATAAACTGCTATCACTAAAGTCATGTGTGATAGAGTCTTTAAAATTATTGCCTTGAATTGGAGATATACAGTCAACTTCAAATAGGTTACAATCATCTTTGGAATCATCAATTGTGGAAGTCTTTTGCTGAGAAAAATTAAACCTCAATTTTTGACTGCTCAAAGTCACTTCTTCTGTTTTTAAAGTGCTAGTAACTAAAGGGCTAAAATTATTTGGCCTGGACAAACCTGAAGCACTGCTTGGAATATTTTTTTCTAAGTTGAGAACTTGGCTTATACTACTTTCTAAAGAACTATTTTGTGATTCAAAGTCCCCCTTTAGAAGAGAGAAAGATAGATTCAACCTTCTGCGAGGTAAACATTTTTTGTCACTGATTTTAGGTGTTTCACAAAGTTCTGGGGTTTTATCCTTTTCCTTTCTAAGCAAGATAAATTTCTTTTTTTGGGTGGGAGACTCTAAAGGATGTGTTAAGTCCAGGCTTGAAGTTTCAGGGTGCTCATGTAGTAATGCTGGGCCTTTTTCTTTTTTTCCAAGATAGTCTTTGTCTGTATTATCAAAGCTACAAGATTTTAACTCACTGTAGCCATTATCTTGAAGTGAAGATGTGGAACAACAATCTCTGAAGGTAGAGTACTTGGAGTTGACAACTGGAGGACAATCCACCCCATTTCCTGCTTCACTGCTAGCTTGACCTGAGTGCCTTTGTGACATCTTCAAAATCTCTGTTTCTGCAAAGTGACAACAAAGTTATTCTGCCTTTGAAATGAGTATCCAGGCAGCTTACACCAAAATACATTATTTGTGATGAGTACAGATGATAATGGAAACTTACATGGCAATTTTTGAAAAGTTACTTTAAAAATTCAATTCTCCTCTATAAAAAACTGATGTGTATCCTACTTAAAACAAGTTTTTGACATCATAAAACCAAAATGTTCAGGTTATAAATATTCAAAGATCATTTGATTAACCATAGTCTAAGTACTATGCACACATATTTTATTGAACTACCCCTAAAGAGAAAAAACCTAGAAGCATTATTTTTAGATTATTACCTTATGATTTTCACAGAACTAAACAATTTTCATTTTAATATTCCAGCTTATTTGTGTCAGCCTAAATTAGTCTACACAAAAAACACTATATGCTACTTTTTAAACATCTTTGGGAAATGTGTCAAATAATGAGTGCTGCCACTAGCTCTATCTGCAATCAGGCTGAACAACTCCAGAGTAATGATGTTCAAACATGTAACATAGACCTGTTGTTGTAGAAACCTAGTCCCCATGACCATTCACAAGGTCTGAATTTGCAGACTTAAGCCTTGACAAACACTCTGGCTCGTCCATGAACTACTAACACATTCTCTGTGAGCTAACCAAAATGAACCACTGCACCGCAGGTAGGGCTACTTCAAACCTGGCATGTTGTACTCATTCAAATCTCATTTTCTAAATATTTTGTGATGCATGGTCATCCAGCCTTGACTTCACAGTTTATGGAAGACTATTTATGGGAAACCCACCATTTAAAATATTCTTGAAGTTGCAAATAAAGAAAACCACCATTTAAAATATTCTTGAAGTTGCAAATAAAGAATGCAACTCAATTACTTAAAGAAAAAGTTATTCAGTAGTTACATGAGCAAGAAATAACAGTAAGAAATATTGTACTCCTTAACCTTTTCAACAATATCATCAAATTCCTTATTTTTAGAAACCTAAATCTTAAAGCTAAGAAATTTTGGAAAAAATAGTGTTAAAAATTATTATAGTTTTTGATTTTTTTCCTGATGATTCAAAGGACACTAAGAAGACTATCTTTGTTTCAAAGTTTTCTCCAGGGTAAATGCACAATTTTTCTACATTAAAAGATCCTGGGAAGGTCTATTTAGTTGAACGTAATAAGACAGTAATTTATGAAATTTTATCAAATACATGAGTGAATGATCTTTGTTACAAAAGCAAACTGCTACTCTAAACACAAAATTATTTCTTTATGGTATGGTATGATCATCATTAGAAGATTATTTTTACTAAACTAAGTTTAAGTATTTTTAACCTTTTAAATCTATACTTTTTTTTTTTTTATGGAGTCTCGTTTTGTTGCCCAGGCTGGAGTGCAGTGGCGTGATCTTGGCTCACTGCAACCTCCACCTTCCGGATTCAAGCGATTCTCCTGCCTCAGACTCCTGAGTAGCTGGAACTACAGGCGTGTGCCACCATGCCCGGCTAATTTTTTGTATTTTTAGTAGAGACGGAGTTTCAACATATTAGCCAGGATGGTCTCGATCTCCAGACCACGTGATCCGCCCACCTCGGCCTCCCAAAGTGCTGGGATTACATGCGTGAGCCACCATGCCCGGCCTATACTTGTTTTTTATAAATGTCATATATGTCCCCTTCTGATCTTCATCCTCTCAGATCACTGCTAACTTCTGCACATGGTCACAAGCCAAGAAGATTTATCAAACTGATTTTTATAATTTTGTTATATTTTAAATAATTTTGTTTTACAAATATTAAATTAATACAATAGAATGTATATTCAAATTACACCTCCACCCATGAACTGTTTTCTCCCTCTCTGAAAGTAATTCTGTTAAATAACACATTTTACTCAATTTGGTAAAATTCGGTCACAGACCTTTTATTTTTCTATTTTTATTATTTATTATTATTATTATTTTTTGAGATAGAGTCTCACTCCTGTTGCCCAGGCTGGAGTGCAGTGGTATGATCTCCGCTCACTGCAGCCTCCGCCTCCCAGGTTCAAGAGATTCTCTTGCCTCGGCCTCCCCAGTAGCTGGGATTACAGGCGTCCACCACCATGCCCGGCTAATTTTTGTATTTTTAGTAGAGTCAGGGATTCGCCATGTTGGCCAGGCTGGTCTCGAACTCCTGACTTCAGGTGATCCACCCACCTTGGTCTCCCAAAGGGCTGGGGATTACAGGCGTGAGCCATCGTTATGACAACTATACAGCTACTTCACCACTAGGTGTCTCACAATGCTAGAATTTAGGAAACTAAGAGGCAAATTGTTAAAAACAAAGTGGGGAATGCAGATATTACCTCTTTCCCCTAAAACGTTATCCAAAATCTGGCCAGTGGTTCACGATTGTAATCCCAGCACTTTAGGAGGCCGCGGCGGGAGAAACGCTTGAGTCCAGGAGTTTGAGACCAGCGTGGGCAACATAGTGAGAACCCATCTCTTAAAAAAAAATTGTTCATTTCTACTTTAGAAGGGAAAGAAAAAAAATTTGCTAATCTACACACTTGAAGTTGCCTCCAATGTCCTTTCTCCACTATCATTTTCATCTTTCTACTACCCCAAGACGTTGGTCCCAAATATGGTTCTTCACAACTTAATTTTAAAATTATTCATGCGAAATCATGGACTGTCTGTTGTATTTTCAGGATCCAACAGTTCACCGATAAATCAATCAAGCCTCTTTGATAGTTTGACATTCATTTTAAAAACCAGGCTTCTGATAAAAGGCTGGTTTTCCCTAAAGTATTCTTTAAAAGAAAAAAAAAAAGCACCTATCAAATCGGAGAATTAAATACTCATACTAAACCGAAATATCCCTCATTTGTTAAAGTGGAAACTCTTACCATCAGTAAATCTGGATCTCTTGGACGTCAAAGTTATGTAGGCTTCCAAACAAGAAATTCTCTCATTTTTGCCTTTAAAATTCATGCCAAAGTAATGTCACTTAAAGAGAAAAGCTTTCGTTCGAACAATTAATGGGAAGGTGCAGCAGCACGATGGTTGCTCAAACTCGAAGGGGACGCAGGGTGCATGCCGCAGGGATTATTTCTAACACATGAGAAGGTCTAAATCATTTTGAATTTCCTTCAGCCCTCCAGAAAGTAGTTCTCTTAATATCCTTGTTTTCTCTAGCTGGACTGGGACCTGAGCAAACTCCCCAAAGTCGGGTCCCTGCAAAGGCAATGTGTGCTGCAGCCCGGCACTGACTCCCCCGAGGAGCTATGGAGGGCGGGTGGGTAACGGTCTCACCAGGGCGTCAAAGAACCGCTGGGCCCAGAAAGCCAGCGGCGGGGGGCGGGCAGACGTCACCTGGAGCGGAGGAGTGAGGGCTGCCGTGCGCCGGCCTCCCTAGGCTCAGCACCTGCAAGGCACAGGGGACACGGGGCCGGGGCTGCGGCCAGGGCCGCCTGGAGACCCGCTAGCTGATACTCGTCTGGGATCCCCGCGCCGCCCGCCTGGAGGCCGCGGAGCCGGGCGAGGCGCCGAGGAGCACAGGTGGGAGAGGAGCCGGGCAGCCGCCGCTGAAAGCGCCAGGGAAGAGCCTCGGCCTCGTCCCCTGGGATGCGGGCTATGGCAACCCCCACGCCAGCTTCGAGTGGGGCAGCCGCCTGACCCTCCTCCTGTTTGAACTGCCCGCCCGGAGTAACCGCTACGCTCAACCCCGCCCCGCCCCGCCCCGCCCCGCGCCGCCCCGCCCCGCCCCGCGCCGCCCCTGCCTCCGGCTCCGCAGCGCCCCCGCCAGGCCGCCCTCAGACTTCGCCTACGCGGGAGGAGCATCCACTCTCTCTGTCACCCCTGCAGCCGCCCGAGGCGAGTCAGAAAGGCTCCTCCTCTACCAATTCCCACTTTGGGAAGCATTACCGTATTTAGAAAGGCTAACATGGCCTACAGTGGGATGCCATTAGTTTATCATCCCATGCTTAATTCACATTCAGAACTTTCAAGCCACTAACAGACACTACCACCACTCTTCTCTGACTGGACATTTCTCCATCTGGATGTCCCTAAGTCATCCAAAATCAAACTCATTAACCAATTGTTATTATTATTTTGAGACAGAGTCTCACTCTGTCACCTAGGCTGGAGTGCAGTGGCATGATCTCAACTCACTGCAACCTCCACCTCCCAGGTTCAAATGATCCTCCTGTCTCAGCCTCCTGTGTAGCTAGGATTACAGTCGCCCACCACCACATCCGGCTAATTTTTGTATTTTTAGTAGAGACAGAGTTTTGCCATGTCGGCCAGGCTGGTCTCAAATTCTGATCTCAAGTAATCCACACGCCTCGGCCTCCCAAAGCGCTGGGATTACAGGCATGAGCTACTGAGCCTGGCCACTAACGGTTATAAAGTTCCAACTAGGTGCCCATTACTGGGCAAGGAACTGGGAATACAAAGCTGACAAAGGCATACTTACTGCTGTTAAGGAGCTCATTGGCACAGAGCAAGTGCTCTGACAGAGGAACAGTAGCAACACAGAGGAAAGAGGAATCAGCTTAACCCTATTGCAGAAGAAAGTACAGTGCCTAAAGGCCATGGCATGAGACAGATTTTGATGTACAAGTGGCAGTTTAAACGGCAGACAACAGGAAATTCCAAACTTAAAATGTGCAAGGGCAGGAAAATTTCAGACTCAAAACAAAATGTGCAAGAGCAGTTGGGCACATAGAGAAACTGCAGATAATTTGTTATAGGCAGAAACTAAGAGTTGTTGGAGGAACGGATTAGAGAAAATTCTTGAGAAGTTAAGAAGCTAAGTCTTGGAGAGTTCTGGTTGCATGTTAACATTCTGAAGAGCATTTTAGAAAGTCCACTCTGGTGGCAGAATGGAAGACAGAATGAAGAGAGGCAAGGGTGGCTGCCAGGAGACCAGTAGGGAGCTACTGCGTTTCTCCAGAAGGCAGCGGGATGGAGCAGAACCAAGACATGACATATTCAGTTAGCAGAATCAACTGCATGGGACAAGAAGTGAGGCAGTGAAGAGTATAGGCTTGGGAGACAATAAGAAGCATTTAATGTGAGACTGTTACGTTTGAGGTACCTGTAGGACTGTAAAGAATGAATGAATTACACATTCTTCAAGACAGCGCCTTTCTGAAGCCTACGCCACACTCCCTGGTAGAGTGAATAGTACCCTCTTCAAACAAATCTCTATTACAGCCATTTTGCCCTTTCCTGCCCCACATTTGCAATCCTCTTGCAGAATTCTGCTGAATTTTCTCTGTGTAATTTATTACCTTCTAAAATCCCATATTATCTACTCGTTTTGTTTAATGTCTGCTCCCCATCTCCACCCCAATGACAGGGCAGGGAATTTGGCCTATGGTTAAATAAAATCCACGTAACCACAAAACCATTTAAACATTACCCTTTTCTTTTTCTCCAGTTAATTTTTCTTGAGATATTTTATTATGACTGAGGAGTAAATGACCATCTCATATCACATCTCCTTTATATTGTTCAAGGAAGAATCATTGTCACCTATCCCCACCTAAAAATGGGCAAAAAGACACCAAGTTACATATAGTTTGCCTGAGCTTTACTTACTCCAGATTTAAGCTGCTGAGCTGTACTTTCATATTCTTTACTCATCACAGTCTTTTGCCTTTTGCTTCCTTTTTTTTTTTTTGAGATGGAGTCTCACTTGTCACCCAGCTGGAGTACAGTGGGGCAACCTCAGCTCACTGCAACCTCCACCTCCTGGGTTCGAGCGATTCTTGCACCTCAGTGTTCTGAATAGCTGAGATTACAGGTGCATGTCACCACTCCTGGCTAATTTTTTGTATTTTTAGTAGAGACAGGGTTTCACCATGTTGGCCAGGCTTCTCTCAAACTCCCGAACTCAAGTGATCTGCCTGCCTCAGCCTCCCAAAGTGCTAGGATTACAGGCATAAACCACTGTGCCTACCCTTTGCTTTCCTTTCTTGCATTGGGTGTCATCCCATCATTGACTTGAGAACTCTAAAACATACCTGCCACAAGATCTAATGCTTCTTTTGGGACCATCCCATAAAACGTAATGGGAGATTTCCCAAATCACCATAATATTCAAGCTATCTGGATATATTTAAGTGAATATAACCAAGGAAAAAGGAAAGACAGAGATTCAGGGAAAAAACAGCAACTTCCATTTCCATAACCTTCTTAATAAAGAGTTAAAAGCACTATTGTCCAGGATGGCAAGACAACTATCCCCATTAGAACAGAGCAATGCAATAATGTCTGTCATGTCAAACAGAAAAAGTTAGTTAATGCTATCATTGACAATAAAGTAGCTTACGTTGACCGTACTCCGTAGTGATCCTAAAACTACCAGTCTCTGTTGATAGGAAAGAGCATGTTGGATTGGGAACTAACACCAACATAAATTCTTGTCGAAATTCTTTATCTCCTTGCTATGACTTGTCATTACCTTGCCCTTCTGTAGGGTCCCAGGACCCATTTGTACTCTACATATGTTGATCCATTCTGATCGCCATGAATTGTTCTGTGCCAGAATTATCTTGATATTTTAACTGGAGAGTTAGAATACAAGATACCTTGCAAATATGAAAGTTTGACTTTGGGGCTCACTCTGTCATCTTAGGATAACAATGGTTCTATCTAATAGTTCTTATAGGGAAGCCTATTGTGCCTCTTGTATTAGATCACCTCCTTGGTTAAAAGGAGAGGTATTTTGTAACAGGGATTATGGTTAAAATATTATGCTCTGTTAGCCTGTCTACGAAGAAAGAAGCCAGGAACTACTGGGCTTCCCTGAAAGGTTTTAAATGGCATCTTCCTGGAAAGATCTGCTTACATCTCTCAAGCTGGTCTGTGGAGATGCAACAGGAGTCTGAACTTCTGGAAGTGAAACATGAAGCTCAAAGCTCTCAAATTTCTGGACGGAGGGCCCGAAAGGAGCATAACCTGCTTAATAAAATATCAAAGACCAAGTGCGCGTTGGGAGAAAGAACGCCTGCTTCTTTCTTTAACATAGTTATTAACGCTTAAGGTATTTCTGAAATTTTTAAGTAGCTTCATTTTTTTCACCCTACTAAGTAAAATATCTGCTGCGGAAAAAAGGAAACAAACTGAAACATTCTGAAGCTAACTGATCCATCCTATTGAAATTTTGATCTTTGAAAGAACGCACCTCCACCAAGCAGAGCACTTTGTTCTTCTATGGTGGAATACACAGGACGGAGGGAGGTTGAGTGGACAGGGAAAGCTACCAAAATCTCTTAAAGTGGGAGTTGTTCGTGTAGCTACCGTCACGCTAGCCTTTGCTTTAAAACAAGTAAAAGGACTGGGAGACGGATGTGACAGTAGCCTGTGAGAGAAAGGGACAGAAAGCAAAACAAGCCATGAGAAGGATAGGAGGCAGCTGCCCCACTGCCCCAGCACAGGCATCAAACAATTTTTAAAAACAATCTGGAAAGCGTTTTTCTACGTGAAAATCATTGGTGTAGTCGATTTTTCTATGATCGTCGAAGTGACAGCCAGCCTGATACTTCTCGGACGCCATCATCTAGGTTTTTTTCCTAACCGTCTACCCTTCTGGAAAAGTGTTACTTTGTACCACTACATTAGTCAAAGACAACACGACGCCTTGGACTTGCGTAACTTTCAAAATGCACTGCTCTCCTGAAAAATTAAAATAGCTGGAGGCCAAACAGGCATCTACACCCGTAGAGGGTAACAGACAGTGGGGCTGGCTTTACCGCCTTTGCGCAATCCGGGCTCCCTGGCCGCACCCAGGACGGAAGAGGCGGAGAGCGACTCCACTGTGCGTCATACACCCGCGCCGGAAGTTGGTCTCGACTCTGAGACGAGCCGGATCGTGTTTGGAAACGCGGAGAGACTTTCCCGTGTTGCGTAGGTAGCGAGTTGGCGGGTTTGTTGAGGTTTGTGGTGGGTATTTGGGCCCAAACTGGAAAGAGACTTGGGGTAAAAAGGTCCAGTGTTGGGGTAGAGTTGAGAGAGGCTGGGTGTACAGTCCATGCTGTCACTCTTTTCCCTGTATATTTTTTTAGTTTAGATGTTTCGCTGGTAGAGTTAGTTCATTGTTCTTCTCTTCCGTTAGTCTGTTCCCCAGTTGAGGGCTATAATGTTTTTGGCCAACTTCGGGTAGAGTTTGGGAAAATACAGCTTTTGTTAAACAAAGATGTGAGCTTTGCAGTCAAATCTGTATTCCTTTGCCTTTTAGTAGCTGAGGGATCCTGCAGAAGTTAACATGTCTAAGTCTCGGTCGCTTCATCTGTAAAATAAGAGTGATGTCTTCTAGGATTGTTATGAAGATTATAATGGCATAACATGTAAGAAGTAGTTATAATTGTGTCCAGTTCGGCGTAGACGCTCAACACTTGTGTGTATGCGTTTTGTCCTTGAGACCTAACCCACAGGATTTGGGGGAAAAGAACGATTAGGAATTGGGATCCTTTTAGCTTTTCTTGAGAAAAATGGTCCCGGTTGGACTTATGAGAAGCCCTTTTGATATATTCAGTATTTGAGTCTGTGATTTCAGGGGCTAACAATGGACACTCAGAAGGACGTTCAACCTCCAAAGCAGCAACCAATGATATATATCTGTGGAGGTAAGAGTAGCACTTACATAAAGTAAGAATATTTAATTTTTTTTGAAATTGTTTAATTTGTTCTTTGCTTGAATGAGTT